TCCGACTTACATTGGATCCCTACTTACAAACGGGGTGAGGCAACCCCGCAGTAGCTGCTTCCCCCCAGCAGACCAGAGAGACGCGAAGCTAGCGCCCCTCCCCAATAGACCAGGGAGACACGGAGCGGCTTTTCTCAGCAGACACTTCAGCTTGAGAATAAAGGGCTGAGGGAAGTGAGGTGTGGGAGAATAAAACTGAGTTCTGGAGAAATGTTTGGCTAGAGTTTCCCCTACAATATGTACCAGTTCCGACTTACATACAAATTCAACTTAAGAACAAACCTACAGTCCCTATCTTGTACGTAACCCGGGGACTGCCTGTATGTCAAAATTGTTTTTTGCTTACATTGCATAGCTTACATAAACTCATAAACCACGCAGAGGAAATGAATATCTAGGCAACCACCACATCATATAGTTCCAAGGCACATGTGATACTTCTGGGTGTCTGACCATCTTTCACTACAAAAAAAAATTTGCTTTGTTGCTCCAGTATTTTAAAACGTTAGTGTTCTGCTAATTGAGAACTCCCAGCACTTTCCTCATGTGTTCTTTAAAAGTGGAAACCAGCTGGTGTCACCAGTTGGAAAAAGCAGAGGCCATGTAGTAATTGCTTCTAAACAAATGCTAAAATTCAAAATGTTTCACAACCAAGAATGAAATAATTTCATATACAGCTTTGTTTTGGACTATGATTCCAAAACTACTTACGTGATCACAGTCCAATGATGTATTTTCTAAAGCAGGGGTGTGCAACCTAAGGCCCGGGGGCTGCATGCTGCCCCCAGCATTGGGGAGCCCATGCTGGCTCTCCAGGCCCTCCAGCCCCCTGCTATCCCCCTGCAGGGCTGGAGCACCCAATCTATCTTGGGCCCCCCTAGGCTCTGGTGAGTGTCCTTCTCAGTCAGAGGCCACATGAGCAAGGATTTGGTTTTGGGTTTTTATGCTTCTCGCTTTTGTGTAGCCCCTGACTGATTTTTCTGTGGCTGTGGCCCCTGACCCCAAAAAAGATCCCCACCCCTGATCTAAAGCAACATAACACAGACTATAGTTTTTACAGTCTGATACTCATTTGCTCTTTTGCCATCCATTAACTAAACTGGCTCAGTTTAACAAATTTGAGACCGTTCTACACTTGGGCCTTTAATACAATAGCAATGCATACAGTTCAAAGGCTTTAAAATATGGTATATGTAGCCTGCTCCAGAAAGCCCATGCCAGTGAAGACCTCAGTAACTTTGTTAGCAGAGTAAAAATACTTAATTTACTAGAGTTGCATAAAATGAGCATTTTTTTGTAATGTGATGTTGGACGTTTATTTACTAGAAAGTAAATAACTCATTTGTATCCTTAGGCTCATCAGTCTTTTTCTTTGAGCTCTTCTTATCTGCTCCTGACAACCAAGTCAGCAGCAGCCAATCAGCTGAAGATTTCATGTTACCATTATAGGCGGCCTCCTGCAGACGCCACTTCTCTTTATAAGAATGTAGGATTTTTCCCTTCCTCGTTGGGATAATGGGCCCTCTTATTTTTTTTCTATACCATTGCTATCATTTAACTCCTTTGGAAATCTTGACCTGAGAGAGTACCAGTGGCCTTAGAGCAGTTGTTTTCAGGCCTTTTACCATTTTAGTTTATGGATCTTCTTCAGATCATTGCAGGGTAGTCTGAAAATGCAGATACTTATTATGACCTGACCTAACAGGGTTTTTCCTAGCCTTGATTCCCGTGTGCATAAAATAGGAAGAAAGGGGGCACATTTAATCTTTCCACTTCATCTGTAAAGGAAAGGATCATATAACAGTAGTTACTAAAGAGTGATTTTCTTCTCCAGCAGTCAGTAACTTTGGATGAAATGACTGACAGACAGAAGAAATATGCTTTTTCTGTCAGGTGGCTGCAAAGTGACATAGTAGTACTTGTTTAAACCCAGAATATCAGTTTGTATTCATCTGACATTGTATGGGACATGGCCAGAGTCTCCTGCCACATGTAAGACACTTTTATGCCAAAAAGACTCTTGAGACATTTCCCATGTCCCTTTTTCCCCTTTCCTAGTAAAGTGAAACTATTTCCAAAACTAACGACTGGAGGTTTATGGCTCATGGAAAATTCTTTGCAACAAGAAGTAACTCTTCCCTGGTACAAATAGGGCTAATTTTCATATGTATGCATTGCACACATCTGAGTTAAGGTTTCTGGCTTTTTAGCACCACTTCCATCCAACACAGTGGTAGAAGTATGCTCGGTTTTTTTTGGTTTTATTTTTAAAAATAGAGGTAAGCTTTTTTTAATCTTGAATATTTTTGGATAGGTACTGGTCCTCAGTTGTGATGACTAGGTTAGGACTCTTGTTTGGTGACCACTGTTCTAAGGTACCTAACCAGTAGATTGAGATCTATTGGTACATGTTGGAGCCTCTGACTGATGGTCTGGACTGGTTTGGCCAAGAGGCTATTAAGTGCAGCACTTCAGCTGTCCCTCCCCCTACTGCTGTGCACCTCCTGCCCTTTGCCTTGGAGTTGTTTCCCTCTCCCATCCTGTATTCTGTCTCCATGGAACGGGGGTGGGGAGGGGGCACAACAGGTTTTGGGATGGAGGGAATTTGCTGGCTGCTTTTGAGAGTGGTTCAGGGCCAGGGCAGTGGTAAGCCTGCCTTAGGCCCCCTGCACCACCACACAGGAGCCACCTGTGGTAAGCAGAGTCCAGCTAGAACCTGCATCCTGAATCCCTGTCTGTCATGTACCCTTTCCTGCATCCCAAGCCCCTGTCCTAGCTCTGAGCCCCCTTAGATCCAGACTCCATTACAGAGCTTTACCCTGAACCATCTCCTGCACCCCAACCCCTGCCCCAGGCTCAGCTCAGAGCCCTTCTCTCACTCCAGATACCTTAGTCCAAGACCAAAGCCTGTGCCCCAACCCTCTGTTCCTGCCTGATGAAAGGAAGGAAAGATGGAGTGAGCAGGTGTGGGGCCTTTGAGAAGGGGCACTGAGGAGGTGGGGCAAAGGTATTTGGGTTTGAGTTAGATCCTGGATTGCACTTATATTCAAAAAGTGATCTCATACTTTAAGAGGTTGGAGACCACTGCCTTAGAGAAATGGTCATGTTTGATGATGATAACTTTGTCTTGGCTCACCTTTATAATTTAATCATGTGACCAACTAAGATGGTGAAGCTGACATGTTCTCACTCTTAGAGCACTGTGAACAATGGTACTGGGAAGGGCAGTTCATAATTAAATGAAAATGAGCAGGAATTCCTAATCTCTTTGCTCACTTGAAGAAATCTTAGGCTTTAGTGCATTCTGTGCATGGATTTAGGTAAGAGTTTAGAAACCTGTTTTGTACAATAGGTGTAACTTCCTCAGTATGCTCATTCTGAAATTGGTTTGTCCATGAACAAAGCTATCCTGATTTTAATTAAATCCATTTAAAGCCACAGCATTAAAATTTCTGTATTATGTACTTGTATATGATTTTTACATAGTTTGTACCTGAGATGACATTCCCACTGGAAGTCTAATTAAAACATTTTTTACAAAAAATCAGTAACTCAATGTTGTCATTTTCTTGGAAAGCACATACTATAGTACTGGTGCCATCTACTTTGTGTTAAACAACATTCACTATTTTATAGCTGCTTAAAGTGACAGTACTGCTGCTCTTCAGATCAAAGATTATAGTGTAGGTTAAAATAAATAATTAGAACTTAAAATTTACTTTGAAGCAAACCCTATAAAATAAGATTTGCAGTTATCACCTAACTAAGCTGAAATCATGAGTTTCATGAACTACTTTCTGTATGTTTGTCTTTGTAGTTGTATCACATGTCCTATGGTAAAAATTAACAAGCTTCTACATACCATTTTTAATTTTTGTTACTGCTTAAGTTCTGTGTAACTGGATGTTTAAGGCTACAGATAATTTGGAGTTAAATGGTTATTTGTTACAACCTTTGGAAGTCTAGTACTGTCCTGTGCCTCCCTACAGCGCTCGCCCCCCCCCCCAAAGTATCTGACAAATGGGCAGCAGTTACATCTTTATACCTCTGAGAAATTACCAAAATTGGGGTGGTAAGTGACTGAAACTACTAACAAGGGAGACAAATTGAAGAATTTGAAGAGGGATTGGAAAACTCGACCTCATTTTACTCAAACTGTGTAAGGAACAAAGTTAGAAAAGTCAAAATATCACTTTGGACCATGGTAAGCAGATGAGGTCCAGCACCTGGTGGACGGGTAAAATGTGTTTGATATAACATTCACTCACTTACTACCTTTCAAGTAACTTTCTTTTATGATGCAAAATAAATTTACAATGAAGGTCTGTTTTGGGAATATTCTTGTCCTCTTGCTCTTTTGCTCTTCTAGCAAGCCTCACATGCACTTAATTTTCTACCATTTGAAGTAGCTCTGTACTGACCCACAAAGATTCGCCTATCAGAGTGACGGTCTTTTTTTGTTCTTCAGGAGTGAAATAAAGATGAGATTATCATAATTTAGATGTATAATAAATATTGATCCACTGCATAGTTGTGTTGGCAACATGCCATAAATGAAGATTCTGCTAGCTCCTGTCTTACAGCATACCTCTTAATTGTTTTGGGTCCACTGTACCACAACACATGGTAGACGCTGCAAAACGCAATAAAATCAGTGATATTTAGCCTGGTTCAGTTTCTGCTTATTTATAGGAAAAGCATTGGCCTTGAGGGCTTTCCAATAGAATTAATGCCAGTAACCAATATGACTGGTTGACAATTCCTGACTAAACCGGCATATTCTTGGTGGAAAAATCAGATCTGTATACATTTGAACAAGATCAATTTTTTATCAAATGAAGTAGGCATAAATATGCTTTTCTAGCTTGAGTAATTTACCCATTGCAAACTTGATTTCATCTTGTTTTCTTATAGCAATTAGCACTATAATTTCTGAACAAGACAGTTGTAACCATTCATAGTAGGAATGAAATTATGTTCAGTGTGTGTACAAACTGTTTTGGTATAATGTTTTAAATGTCTTGCATATATAAAATATAGTACTCATTCTTCAGATTGTACTAAGCAATTTGTGTTTCAAGTATAATGACTTCAAACTCAGCTAGAATAATGCTTAAAAATATAGTAATTCTGTACCATAACTCAGTTTTGCTAGAAATGCCTAATTATGTAACTATACTGTAAATGTATATTAAATATTGTTATAGGAAGTGCATATAGGATCAGCTGATCTTAATGTTTGATCCCATTATACATTGCTAAAATGAAAAATGTTAGTTGATCTTGCTAATGTTTGTGTTAAATCAATTACAAAATTTCTAGACAGATGCATCTGTATGAACAAAATATTTAATATGGGTATATAGTCTGGTCATATTTCAGTACATTAGAAAAACTAATACTTGGTGTTTTATGTGTATATGGATATACCAGCAGCACTAAATGTATAAATACCATATTTTTCTGAATGAACTGGTTGTACTGTTTACAAAATTTAACAATTACATATGGACTGTAATGCCGAAGTAAGTCTTGAGAATCACCTTTTTTTGCCAGGTCTAGAAATGTGAATCTTGATTTTAAAACAATTTTTACTGTTTTTACATTTTACCCCCATAATTTTCCTAATAAATGTAACCTTAAATTGTAACTGACTTTTGATTTCCTGAATTGAAATCTACATGTAACTTAATTATTGAATATAGTGTACTTACTAACTTGTGATTTTTGGGATGGGTTTTTGGGGGGCTTTTAATTAAAGGCATGGTGAATGATGTATTTCCCAAAAGTTTGTGCTGTGTTTTCTAAGTGTTTATGCAAAATGAGAAATGTAAATCAGAGATTAAAACTATGTCTGCACTTGGGAGTTAGGAGTGTGAGATTCCCAGCTTGCATAGATGTAATGGTACTAAAGAATCGAGCTACTTATTAAAAGTGGTAGCATAGATGCAATATCATGGGAAGAGGCAAGTTGTAGCATGGGCTACCCAAGGTACCTATCCACAGCATGTATGTACTCAAGGCAGCTAGCCCAGACCATGACTGCGCATGTTACTATGCCTGCACTGCTGTTTTCGCATTCTAGCTCAGTGACAACTAGTGAGATGTGTTTACATGATCTGGGAATTATACCTTACTCCCAAGTGCAGAAGTAGCCAACTATGTTTTTACTGCAAGCTTTCAGTTAAATTCCACTTTCTCTGTTTGAACCTTTTCACCCTGCTGGGAGAGCAATAGTGCTGTTGCTTCCTAGCAGCCTTTTACACATTGTTTTACATTGCTACGTATTTCATTGCAGTATCCCCTTTACTATTCAGCGACTTTGTGAGTTGCTGACAGATCCAAGGAGGAATTACACAGGAACAGACAAGTTTCTTAGAGGAGTGGAAAAGGTAAGTAGTCTTCATTTCAGAGGCATTGGAGCTAAATTGTAACTACTGATTGTATAACATTTAAATGACTCCCAAAGTTTTATTGGTTTCATTATGACTGTAATAGCAACTGCAATTTGGTTAATTTTAAAAAAAGAACTGCAAAAAGCTATTCTAAAATGTTTGACCCAAATGCAAATGCAGAATTGAGTCTTTTTCTGTTACTGTTGGAGTGCGCCAGTATTGCTATGTATACAGGAAATAATATTGCTTACTGTTCTGAGCCCCACCAGTAAATAACTGAGTGATAAGATATGCAATGGGTACAACCATGTAAGTTATTAAGTCTAGCAAGTTCTTCCTTCCTTGCTTTGTAGGTTTGAATTAGACTAAAAAGCTGAAGCAAAGATTTGTTTTTCTCAGATCTCCAGCAATTTTAAGCACATTAAAATCCTCATTAATTGCATACCAAACTTTTTTTTATAGTCTCTTATTTAGAATGTTTTCCAAAAGCATCCAGTAATACTTCCAGAATTGATGTCAAACTTGTTCACCTGGGAGTGCCCAGTTCGATTCAGGGCATGTGGAAATGTGCATGGTTTGCAAATTAGGGCCCTATACTGCTGTTGGTCAGTAGTGGATCTGCCAGTGATGCCTATGGTTGGTTTGAGGGTAGATGATAGCCCTCATTTAGTAACTAAGCTTCTGTTAAGTAATGCTGATGTAGTGTGCAGCAGTCAGTGAAAAATTAAGTATTGTGGTTCATTCCTCTAGTTGCAGCACTGTACCTGCCCTTTCCATATGGCTATATGTAAATGTGGCTATTGATCATGGGCATCTAAAACCCCACTGAAAAGAATACAGCACCACTTAAGAGTTGTTGCACACTAAGCTGGTGCTACATTTGAGTTACAGATTTAGGCACTCAAATTTAAAAATCTTGGCCTTGATTTTTTTTTAAGTGTAGATTTTACAGTCTGACTTTATCATGGGGGAACAAGAGCAGTTTGACACATACGATAAATCTACTACTAGTTTGACATCTTCGTTATAAAACTAATTACTGCTGCCTTTTACTTCTGTTGATGTTCTGTTGAAAGATGTTTGTGGTGGTGGACTATGTTTTGGGCTGTAATTAGTAGTAACCAACACATCTTTTAGTATTAACATTTCATGTTGTAGGCTTCTCATAATTCACCCTAAACTATTTTGGAATAGTACTCTTGTATATGCATTACCTATTTTTCTACCCATCAGCCATTTCTTTCTGAAATTCTCACAGTTGCTGTAGCACTAGTGAAGCTCTTCTGGGGCTAGTACTGTTGGGTGCACTAGTATAAACCAGCAGTTGGTGATTATGTGACATAAGGTTATAACTAGTATAACTTTGCCACCTACCACTGGGGAAGAGCACTGACTAGCAGCAACTTGAGATTTTCAGCTTCATGTGGAGCATCAGCTGCTTGTAATTAGAATCATCTAAGTTACAGACCTCACCAAAATGTGGTTTACATTGCTTTGACCTCCATTGTAATTGCAATATGGTGTAAGTCTTATTTGGTTTGTATTCTTCTCATCAGCAAAGCACCTTTACCATTGTTTGAGGATTTTAGTAGGTGAAAACTACTCGGAAGGTCGTATTTGCCTTCAGAATAATCTAATTTAACATTCTGTAGTGTTACTTTTATCAGGTAATTTTTTTGTTTAAATCTTGCTTTCATGTATAAAACTTCAAGTTCTGTCTGGATCAGAAACGTTTCCTTCTGCTTCTAAACTCACAATGCTTTTTTTTCCTCTTGGTATTACAGAATGTCATGGTTGTGAGCTGTGTATACCCGTCTTCAGAGTAAGCATAAGATTAATTTCAACTATTTAAAGATTTGGGAGTAACATAAGAGGTTTTTTGTTCTCCATGTTGCTGGCAGTAATGATATCTCCTTGCCAAGATTCATACATGTACTACAAAATTCAACTTCCATGTCAATGAGTTAAACAGATGCTCTTCAAATCTCTCAGGCTTTGTGTGGCAAAAGAGGTGAAGGTGTCCTGCAGGGATGTATTGCTTGCTTTTCTACCTGTATAGTAATTTTGGGATGAAAACCAAGCTCCTGAGCCAAAATGTACAGCACAGGTTATTCATACAAAGCAATGCATAAGTGCATTACACAACGACTCAGTTATAAGAGTGAGGATGATGCCATTCTATTAGTGGTTTGTCAGCTTTTTTAATAAACTCTTTTCTTCAGAGATTAATTCTTTCTGCAAAAATTTGCTCTGAACAGCAGTTTGGCACACACAGTGCTAAGTGAGGGCACAAAAGTGGGGGTAAATTTGGGTCTTTTAAAAAAAGATTAGGATTTTATTTGAACAGAATCAAAGGGAATATAGATTCTTGCCTTCCACGGATCCTTTCAAGAGAGGATACCTACCCCTACCAAGGTTGCCCTACAGTAGATAGTTTGGTGCTCCTATGACTATTTACATAAAACAAGATCAAGTCTGAGTGCCTAGAAGATTGCAAAGTAATATACAGGACCTGGAGACAGTGAAGGGGAAATGAAGGGGAGTAATTTGATAGAGAAATGCTAGTTGTATGAAAGAAAATTGACTTCAGAAAAGTGGCTTTAGTGCCATTGAGTTGTCTAGGAGAGGAAAGCCGCCTCTTACCATACTCATTCGAAGAAGCTAGGTAAAGCACAGAGAAAAATTCTTCCAAACCTTTTGTTTTAAAATGAAGTTATAATATAGCAGTGTAGAAGTGGTAGGTCATGTAGTCTAGATGCCTTCATTGAGGCAGGACTAAGTATTACAAGGACAGTACTGCGCTTGTCATATTGGTTAAGGACGGCACGTGTTACACACAGGTAAATGAAAACCCCACATGTCAGAACCTGAAGATGTTGAATAGGATCATATAGTGTAGGACAGGGATGGGCAATAATTTTTGCCTGGGGGCCACTTCAAAAAATTTTAAAATATCCCCTGACCACCCCGGAAGGGGCGGGGCCTGAACAGGAAGGGGTGGGGCTACCCACCCCCAGACCATGACTTTGCCCTCCCTTTGCCCTCCCCCTTCCCACTAGGCACCCATGCCCTGGAAGAAGATTGGCATGCTCCCCCACCCCCAGGCTAATCGTCCTGGGGGGTGGGGGAGTGCAGGAAGCCTCCTCCCTCTGTGAGAGGAGCATGTGGCACTTTGAAGTGCTGCGGGCTTCTCGCAGGGCCGGGGCAGGGCAAAGGAAGCTTCATGCAGCTCCTTCTCACCCAGGTCTTGATTGGTCCTGAGGCAGGGGAGCGCACAAAGCCTCCTCTGCTCCCTCCTCACTCCCTTCCTCCCTGCCTGCCCTGCAAGCAGCATGAGGTGCTTCAAAGCACCATGTGCGCCTGGCAGGGCGGGAGGAGGCTTCATGCACTCCCCTGTCCCCAGATCAATTAATGCCTGGGGGTGGGAGAGTAGCAAGGCCTCCATGGGCAAGATCCACCTGCTTGGCGGGCCGGATCCGGCCCCCGGAGGCCCTTCTGCCTACCCATGGTATAGGATATCAAGGTATTCTTACTGGATCAGCACCTGTTCTGTGAGAAGAGTATTGTCCTCCAAAGTATGTGATATGAGGGAAACTGACGTTTAATGAAGGTTTGTTGTCATGGCAGTTTTATTTTTTGTATCTATCCATGGTGGCTTACATATCCAGTAGACACTGTTCCTGCCTGCAGAGTTTAAAATGTAGAACCCCAGTCCAGCAAACACTTATGCATATGCTTCACTTTAAATGTGTGTATAGTCCTGTTGAACATAAATATGCCTTTTATTTTATTTATAGGAAATTAGAGGATGTCAAGATACGCAGGGCAAAGGCAGATGACAGTGTGCTTAATTAGTCACTTAATGGGTATTGAAGTCATTTTAGTTAAAGTATTCCTATACTCTGTTTTAATTGAAATCTGTAATTACGTTTAATCAAGAAATTATTTTTTTGATCTCCTTCTGGGAACTAAGGAGCCTTAAGTTGCTAAGTGTAATTTTTGATTTCTCATAGGAAAAATAATTCCAATAGTTTAAACAGGATGAATGGTGTTATGTTTCCAGGAAACTCACCAGGTTATTCAGAGAGGTAAGTTGAGTAGTTTCAAGAGGCAACATGTTTGTGTGGGGGTGTGATAGGATGAAGAAAAGTTCTACGGTTTTGGAAGCAACTGGCCAGGACATCTTGCCATAGTAGTGTTATTGACATGTGAAATTTTTTTTAGTCCTGTTCATATAGAGGTGGACTTGATTGATTTTTGCATGATGAGATGTGTTGGAATTTGAGCTAAATAATTCAGCTTTGAAAATGAAAATAAGTGACCAGGTTCCTTTTCCAGGTTTTTTTAATTTAGAGCAGGGGTGGGCAATAATTTTTGTTGAGGGGAGCCACTCTAAGATTTTTATAAGTGGTCAATGGCTGCACTTTTCTGTGGAGATGTGGGGCCTAGGGTGGAGGTTGGGTGCAGAAGGGCACAAGGGACTGGGGTGCAGGAGATGGTATGAGGTCTGAGAGGGAATTTGGGAGAAGGAGGGGGTTGTTAACTGGGTCAGGGGATTAGGGTGTAGGATCAGGGAGGAAGTAAGGGTGCAGGAGAGGATTCTGGGCTGGGGAAGGTGCTCTAAGAGGACGTGCAAAGTCTGGGAGGGAATTGTGACTTGGGGCAGAGGGGTGCAGAGGTTTTGGATGGTGACCTGGGGGAGGGAGTTGGGGTGCAGGAGGGGCAGGGGTGCCAGGCTCTGACTGGGAGGCGCATACCTAAGCCAGCTGCCCTATAGCAACCCAAAGGCAGGCTGGCCTCCCCGCTTGCTGCAGCCCTAGGTTACTTCAAACTGCGGGCTTGTTCCCTCCACATGATTCTGAGCTCTAGGAAGGAAAAGAGGCTTGTGCTGCCCCAGGCCAATCTCTCAGCTCCTATTGACTGGTTGTTTCCAGCCAATAGGAGCTGAGGATTGGGCTGGAGGCTGGGAGATAACATACAGCCTCCCCCTCCCAGTAGAGCAGAGAGCCTCATGGACTGCACTTTAAACTGTGGCAGCAGCGTGCCTGAGGGTTCCAGCAGGGTGGTCTGTGGGCCAGATCCGGTGACTTGGCAGGCCCGATTTAGAGTGTATTTTAATTGTTTAACTAAAAGGTGTAAAATGAATTGTTGTTTTTTAGATCTAATATAAATGGTCCTGGAACTCCCAGACCAGTAAATCGGCCAAAGGTTTCTTTGTCGACGCCTATGACAACAAATGGTTTGCCAGACAGCACAGACAACAAAGAATCAAGCTTGCAACAAAAGGAAGAAAAAACCCACAGGTTTGTAGAAAATAATACCTAATTCAATATTTCATTACTTTCATGGTCTGCACTTACAATTTTGTAAAGATTTTTAAAGCAAAATGTACCTTTGGTAAGAATCAGTTCTGCAGTATGAATTTTCAAAAAGATTGTGGTACATACTCACCTCCATTAGATATATACTTTCTATTTTTTGTCAAAAAGATTGTGGTACATACTCACCTCCATTAGAAATATACTTTCTATTTTTTGTTCTGGATATGCAAAGTGAAGATTTGTATTAGTGTGACTCTCTGTAATGGAATAATGTGTAATTGAAACTGTTCCTCGGCTTTACTTGCTGAGTTTTTATATATTTATAATAGTCCAGTTCTTTTCTGATTGTGTAAATATCTGGTAAGAGTGCGAATGAAAAATAATGTTGCATTAAGATGGGATTCCATGTTTCCACATTTAACTACTGCTGGGATGGTGCATTAAAACCAGTATATTTAAAATCATAAATGCTTGTTACTTATAGATCTTCTTTTCCTCAAATTATAATAAAACATAGTCTAGGCCTATTATATATCAGCCCAATTCACTCTTCTGGCAAAAAGAGTGGTCTGTACTTCACACGTGAAAATTTAATAATGCCAGACTTTGGCCAGTAATGAGCAGATTGAGTTCTACAGTGTAGAACCTCTCATGGAGAACAATACCTTGCAAGGAACAACCTCCCATATATATATCTGTTGATCTCAGAGGGGCAGTTTGAGAAATGGGGCAAGATGTGAATGTTTTTTGATACCCAGACATGACTTCTTTGGGTCTTACAGTGAATCACCAGCATCTGAATCAGAAGGTACTCAAGGCAGCCCTATAAAAAATAAGCATCCTGAAGATGATCCTGTGGAAGCAGAGGGACATGAGGTAAAAAGACTTAAATTTGACAAAGAAGGGGAAGCAAGAGAGACATCTAACCAAACTGCCTCGAGTGAAGTCTCCTCAGTCATGGCAGAAGAGACTGAAACATCTACATCTCAGGATAAAGAAAAAGATACTAGCTGTGCCAGACAGCACTGTACAGAGGAAGAGGAAGAAGGTATTTCAGATTTACCCATATTATGTAATCTTTAGCTAGGGACAGGGAATCCTCTAGATTGTATCCAGTTCTACTCTGGGACCTTCCTTCTCTTGAAGTCTGGTTACGGTGGGACTACACTTGACAGTTTGCTGTAATTTAGGAATAAAACTAAGTGAACATAAGATGATTCTTTTCTTTGGGGCTGAGCATCATTCAGCAGTTTGTAAATCTCTCCAACAGTGGCAGGGTAGCAAATCAAAAACGTAACCACCATGTGAGTTACAATGCTGAGCACTACCCAAAGATCCATGAATCAGGCACTAGTGCAGAGTAAAGAAATATATATTACTATCTAGAAGAAGCTGGCATGAATTGATATCAAGGTTGTACTTCATATTCTTTCTCTTTTCTGTTCTGATTGCCTATATTCAAGGTTCACTGCTTAGTTTGTAAAATATCCTGCTGGATGGAATTTTTGATGTACACTTTGTTCAATCTTGTGCTTAACTATTATCAAGAACAGTAGCTATCCTTGGGGAATGTGGAAAAGTAAGAAAAGTCCATTCATCATTTAAAAGCTTCTGTGTATAAAATCACACAGCTGAATGTAGTCTGACACCATTAATATTTATAATATAATATTGTATATAATATGATGTTGTGGAAGTTGGTAACTTTAAGTATGTTTAAGATAGGGCTACTCAACTTTGGAAGCCCTGGGGGCCACAATGATACTCTCAGCACATGCAGACGGTGCAACTTAAGTGTGGTTGCATATACATGCAAATAGCTTCTTTCACACTGACAGGCATGAATATAAAGATTAAGCCTTAAGCTGCAACGCTGGACACAAATGTGGCCAGTCTGAGTCAGTTAGCACCTCTCAGGCTCTGCACACAAGGCTAAGCAGCCAGCACTTCCCAAAGTGCCCCGGCACACCCAGCACCTCCTCCCTGGGGGCTAGAAACACGAACACCCTGTACCTGTCTGTCCTAGCCAGCCTCTTGCATCTTTCAGTGCTCACCCTCCCTGGGAGATGCCTCACAGTTGTGGAGCGTGTTCCTAGTCCAGGTCATGTTCAAAGGATTCCACTCGTGGGCAATGTGTTGAGCCCCGCATAAACCTGAACCGCACGGTGGGCCGCATTCGGGCTGCATGTGGAGTAGCCCTGATTTAAGCTGACTCAGTTTAAAATTTACATCAGCTCACTTTTCTATAGAGGAAAAATAGACGAATGCATTGTTAACACTGTCATTAATGTAAATGCTTTCAGAGTCCTTCATGTCCTCAAGAGATGTTGCTCCAGAAAGAAAAAATCAAGAAAAAGACACTGAATCCTTAAGTGTGAATGAAGAGATCTCAGAGGAAAATAATCAAATGGAGGAATCTGACCAGTCTCAAGTAGAGAAGGTTTTACGTTCTGAAGACAGTGAAAGTAGTGGATCTGTCATTAGGGGAGCTGACTGCAATGAAACTGAAGAATTAGAATCATATGCCAGTGAAACTCCTGAAACTTCATCAGAGACCCCTATGGAAAACAGTGATGAAGCCACAGAAGCTGCAGAAGAACCAATGGAGCAAGACTAATAATTTAAATACACTTAGATGCAGTATTTTCCATAAGGCTCTGATTTTACACTGTATAAATAATTTTATGTAATAAAGTGGACCTTTAGTTTTACAAGAGAAGCAGGCTGTAAAATAAACTTCTCCATGGATTGAACCCTGAAGGAGTCATACATGTTAAGAACTGTGAATACCAGCTCCTTCAGGTCCTGCTTACCGCTGACTTTTCGGTTTGGTCAAATCAGTGGTTTGTGTATAGTTTTTTTTATTTAGAATAAAAGTTTTTAAACTGGAAGGTGATTATAATTTTGACAACTTTTTTGGAGATTATCACATTTAGTTATACGTATGCAAGAAAGCTTAGTGTCTGGTCTTTCTCTGACAGCTATAGCAGTTACTTCATAATTTGGTTACAGTTTCAACATGTGAACCATAAGGTTTCATGCTGGTTTCCAGACTTTTGACTACATACTGTGGAATCTTAAATTGTGTTTAAAATGTTACTATACACACACACACACTATTCTAAGGGGGGAAAATGTTATATTTTTCTGTTTCTACAAAAGATGAATACAGTGTACACTTTTTCTATTGGAAAAGACTGAGTTCACCTCTCAAGGCAGTTTTTTGCCTCTTAAGAAACCAAATAAAATCTGGCCCATATGGAACACTGGACATCCTAGCATTATTGTAAACACCAGGTTACACACATTCCAAGAAAACTGTTCAGACTACAATGCTTTTATATACTTCTGAGGTGCCTGAGTGAAAAGATTTCATTTGAGAAAATGTGCTTTATGTTGAGAACAAAGTAATCAAAACTCGAGCTTAAACTTTTGTAGATGGAACATTTGCAAACTTGATAACAAATTGTCTGAAAAATTGGACAGCTACCTGCCTTCAAGTGCTTCTCAGAGCATTGTGAATATTAGAGGGTTTCTTTCAGAATTATTCAAATGTATGCAAATGGCATTGGTAGGGTACAACACTGTATTAGAAGAATTAATATATTACCTTAGTTATGTACCTGAGCTAAATAACTAAACATTTTAGGAGTGCATATAAATCACCATAATTTATAAAACATTTTGGAAGTGAACTAAATATTTTTGAACATGCTACTTTGACAGCCAGTGTTATTTTTTTTTCAAACCAGCTCAAAGCACAACTACTGCTTTAAACTCACAATCTTTTCAAATTCCCATATTTAAAGACATGCAAGCTGCAACCTCCCAGTCACAATTACTGGTTGCCAAATTTATACCTGTTTCTTCAATTGTACCTTTTTGATATTTAGAGTTTTTAAATTTCTGTAGATTTTTGTAGATTGTAATGAGTGCTCACTGCCATTGTGAAACGGTATATAATTGTATAATTTCTGTGTGTAAACTGAATGCTTGGGCTTTCAATACAGTATTCATATAAAGCAATAAATATTAATGTTATAAAACATTCGAGTACATTTTTATCACAATATAAAAGGATCCCGTTTTTTAGTTGAAGTTCAGATTCCTGAAGTACAAAAATGACCCCCAAAAACGCATGCTTAACAGTATCTTGTTACTATGTGGTATGCTTTATATATATGTTTGGGAAAATACAGCTTTTGAATAATACCTGAATAATTTGGCTCAGTTTGTATATTTGTAAGGTAATGTACTACTTACTGACTTTGTTGCCCATCTAGTTCAAAGCTGACAGGATGAGTTCAGGGGAGAGGCTTGCTTGGTTTTTTGTTTTGTTTTGTTTTTTTTTAATATATTCTAGGGGTTAGTGTTCCCTGAACAGAAATCAAACATCCATTTTTCTTTTTTGCTGAAGGATAAGATATGTATAATAAAAAATGAAAGGACTGCACCAACATGTTGGAATTAGGGAAGTTTTTTCAAAAAATGACAGCTAGTGACATCTTACTTTTTTGAAAATATTTTGCCAATGAGAACAAAACTCAATTTTTAAAATTTAGAGATTTCTGAAATTTTCTTTAGAATGTTTGTTTGTGAAAATATTGTCAATAAACCTATTCTTTAAACATCTATGACCTTTTGATATGTTTATTTTAGCAACGTTACTGTTGCAGAACGGTTTTAAAACTTGCTTGAATGAATGAGAAGGATCCCCTTGTTAATCAGCAAATTTTACTTTTTTGCAGAATTTTTTTTAAAGTAAATTCAGCTTGAATACATCCCATACAGAGTTAGTTAATGGTTAAATGCAGAAATATTTAATAACTTACAAAATAGCACAGGTAAGTGCACACATTGCAAACATTCTGCATATGCTAGTAGTTGGTATCCTGTGATTCCAAAGTAAAGGCATAGTCAGATCTCCAATATGTATGACTGCATAGACAGCCTTTGTTTCCTACCATTATAAATGAATGTAACTACATGTACTCCTATCTCCACATTTATGGCTTTATTTTTAAAGAAGACTAATATCTACAACTACCACAACTGCATACATTTTGTACATGCTATTTTAGCATTTACATACATGAATTAAGCATGTAGCAGCATGTGCCATCTTTTTTTTTTTAATTGTCCATCCTCACTTGTAAGGAGATGTAGCAGCATGTGCCATCTTTTTTTTAATTGTACACCCTCACTTGTAAGGAATAGCCAGTTATTCTAAGAATAGTCCTGTGCTCGTTTTGATGAGTGTTAGTCTCTCAGACTTAAGGCTGCAAACAGTCAACATTCAGAATTCAGTGGTATTGCGGAAGATGCAATACTACTCTAAAAATCTACATTACTAATTAACATTTTTCAACTAAAATATTTGGGTGCTATATAACACTATTACAATTTAGACCTGACTGCTGTGGCACGTGGTTAAGTCTAGTTGGTTTTACTTTACACTGTGTTCATGCTACAACTATTAATACTGTAATAGGGAAAAACTGAAGATGGAATAGTCCTTTTAGTTTTCCTGCACTGGAATTACAATTTGGAGTTGACGTTTTTAAATGTACCCATTTGAGGCATTTTAATGGAAATTGCAGGTGCCCATCACCTTTCAGAATCTGGCCCTCAGGCAGCAGACTAAATAAGTGATGGGTCTGATGGAGTGCTTTTACATGCTCACACCTTCAAGATTGTCTATTTACGATCCCAGAACTACTGGGCCTATATGAACAAGTTCAGTTTTACAGAACGAGAGAGGATGTATAGTTCCTTATTTCACAAACTGAGCATGATAAAACCTGACCCCTTTGTTATTTCCTTTGGATTATCCAATGTGTGCAGCACCCACCCCCCCAAAAAAGTTAGACCCTCCCATACCATCTTAGAATCTATCTTTTGCATACCACACACAGCCAAGTACAGGTTGGATCTAAACTAGTACCCTAGGATCATCTGTTGATGTAGATGGGCAAGGTAAAAATCCATATCCAAACTTTTATATCAAATCTATGCCTAAGGCTTTTCTGTACACAGCACAAATGTTTATTTAGCCCTCTGGCTAAATAAACATTTCAGGAGGGAGTACTTAATTTGGAAATTGAGTTGGAACTGCATTCAGCTCTCTTGGTGTAGTTTGTTCATGAAATAGTTGAAACCTGCTCTGTTAAAATGGGCTTTTAATAGGTTTTCCTCCCTAAAGAGGCAGGGTTTACCTCTGGTAGTTAGTGCAAAGGAACTGATTGCCTGGTTTCTCCTGACTGCCACAGAATCTCATTGTGTGAGCAGGTCAAAGTATTTAAAATTCTCCAAATGCAAAATGGACTGTATTGGGGGGGCTTGCTTTTCTTTTTCCAAGTGGATGCCAAACTTGCATGTGCAATTGCTGTAGGTAAAATATAATAGAGCAGGTAGGTACTTGCAGTAATGGGAGGTTTGTATGTCTCTTGATGCAAGCACATGCATTTGCTTCTGAGATAATAGATGTTCTTTGAGTGATGTCCCTGTGAGTACTCCAGTGTAGGTATCGGGTTTGTCCCGGTACTGCAGATTGGAGATTGGTCAGCAGTGGTCTGCTGGACCGCGCATGTACTCTAGGCGCCTTGTGCCCTTCACAACATTTCTTAGTGCACATGGTCTGGCTCCTGCCAGTTCATCCTAACTTTTCCTCGGTCGCAGATGGAGTGAGCTCCCTCTCCTGAAATCCTGTCAGAACAACAAAAAATTAGTTAGTTCTTAGTAGTAGTAGTAGTTTTTAGTAGTAGTTAATTAGTCTTCAACAATAGCTTTACTAGTTATACAATCATTTTAAAAAAAGAGAGAAAAGGAAAAGACAAATGTCTCAGTACTGCCCATTTAAAAAAAAAGAAAAAGAAAGGGGTGGGGAGGAGGGAGAAGACATGATGATGCCTGGATCACCCAGGTTTAAAAATGTGATACTGGCTGGGACCTGATGCCCACATCAGATGGCACTCCCGCTGTATTCGGTGTTTGGGAGAAAGGCATATTCCCCAAAAATGCCTTCATTGCTCTAAATTAACAACTCAAGCAAGAAGAGAGAGGGAAATGAGGCTTAGGATGCTTTTGTTTGACACAGCACTCCAGTAGTCCCTAGGGACGGAGCCCTCCCCACCTTGGTCGACTCCACCAGAGCCGACAAAACACCAGGCCACTTTGCTGCCGTTTTGCCATTTGGTGAAAAAGAGACCCTCTCCACCAGATCTCTGCCACCAACCTGTGTCAGCGTCCATGACAAACCAGGCACTTCGGGCACAGCTCTTGCCCGCTGCCCTGACAAAATGAAGATGGGTCACAATATGTCAATTCCAGCCTGGTGCAGAAATTGCTACTGGCCCATGAGTCGGCACCGATGTCACCTGTGGCACAGCTACCAGCGTCGGAATCAGCACCAATACTCAAGCCAGCATTGACAGAGTGCTCTGCACCGGTGGCACATTCCGCACCAGCACCACTTGCCTCACCATAGCCGTTGCTGGCACTGATGTCAGCACCAGACAGAGCCTCTACTTTACCGAGTCCATTGGAGGTGGCATCAGCACAACTCTCAGCACCAACTAAGGCCCGGCGTCAATCACATTGGGTTGCTACCCCCTCCCCCAGCCCTGAATGCATCACTTTTTCTCTGGAGCCTCTTTTGCCATCACCGGCACCATCACCTCCACCTGTTCAAGTTCCAAGACATTGTACTACTGCGGAATACCATAATGCAATGGCACACTGTTCCTTTTCACCTCATTATTATGATCAGCACTGGCACACATCTGTCTCCTGTATCGTCAAGATCCAGATTGCCCACACTGCCAGCTTATGCTTGCTGTCATGGCGATTGCAGGAACACCATCTCCTCTAGACATTCCTCGCCTACCAGGCATTACTGTGGTTGCCACCGCAGTTACAATTGTTATGAATATCATCGTTCAGCACATCATTTCTATTCTCGCCACTGGTCACTTTGCTGTCACCGATGAGATTCACGATGAAGCTGTGTGGCCTCTCCTATTCCAGTTGACATGCCCCCTCACCTCCCCGCACACAAATTCCATCCCAGACACCCCAACTCACTGACCCTGAAGAAGGTCAACTTTCTGACCACAACCAGCCACAGAGAGTCTCCCTGACAAATCCATCTTCTTTGCCCGACGAGGCAGTAATTCCATGGGTCTCATTGCTGACTGATGACCCTCTGACAGTTTCAGGACCTCTTTAAGCAAGTTGCTGCTAGTCAGGAGGTCCAGATTACAGAGGTGCAAGAGAAACAACACCATCTCCTGAAAAAGTATAGCTCTCCCAAAAATCAAAGGTTACCTTGCCCCTTGACAAGGCTATTTTAGAGATAGTGGATGACATTTGGCAAACACCTGCTTCAGTCCCCGCAACCAACAAGAGGGCGGATAAAAAATATTCCGTACCCGCCAAAGGGATGGATTTTCTCTTCACACATTCTCAACCCAACTCCTTTGTGGTTGATGTGGCACAGCAGAAGGCCAAGTCCCCACAATATAAAAACAACAATGACAAAGATGCCAAAAGAATGGATCTTTTTGACAGAAAAGTTTATTTGTCGACCACATTGACGTTTAGAATGGCCAACTATGTGGCCCTCCTCGCTAACCATAACTTTGATAATTATACAAACTTGACCACACTTATAGAACGTCTTCCAGACAATGACAGATTTTAAAATCGGTGGTACAGGAAGGTTATGCTTCTTCTTGTACAGCCCTCCAAATTGCATCGGACATTGCAGATATAGCCGCGTCAGCTACTGCAACATCAGTAGTGATTCACAGAGCTTCATGGCTTCAGTCTGCGGGGATGCCCAAAGGACTACAGTCTAAGGTGGAGGATCTCTCCTTTGACAGACAGAAACTATTTTCAGAGAAAACAGATGAAGTCCTCCATACCAGTAAGGACTCAAGAACTGCCCTAACAACATTAGGCATGTATACGCCTCCCTACAGGTGCAGATGCTACACACCCCTACCAAAGTCACCAATCCTTCCCTTACTCTGCACCTCAGCATAGAGGATTCAAACAGCATCGTCCAAAGCAGCACCCCCAAAACACCCGCATGGTGAATCAGCAGAATAACAGGCTGAAAGTTGAGGTTGAGGGTCTGCAAACCATCCTGCTTACCAGTCACCAATGCAAAGATGCTTGGTTGTTTCATCATGGCCTAAGACCATACCAGCAGTGGTGGGCTGCTATCACCACCCATCAATGGATTCTTGAGCTAGTAACATCCAGCTACTCGATTCCCTTCACTTCTCTCCCTCCCTACCCTCCCTGTCCCTCTTCAGGGACTCCTCTCATGAGACTTTCCTAAAACATCAGAGCAGTAGAGAGAGAACCCGAAGAGTTCAAGGGAAGAGGCTTTTACTCCCATTATTTCCTCACCCAGAAAAAGTCAGGAAGATGGAGGTCCATCTTAGACCTCCGCCGACTCAACCGACATCTTCGCAAAAAGAGATTCCGGATAGTGATGTTAGCATCTATTATCCCAGCTTTTGACTCTGGGGATTGGTTTGCATCCCTCAACCTACGGGATGCTTATTTTCATGTCATGATTCATCCGGCACACAGGTGCTTCCTGAGATTTTTGTCAGATCTGA